ATTTACCGTTACTTATGAGTTAAGTTGTTTGTCCCACTTAGTGTCAGCCAATTTTGGCAGTATTGATCAATCTTGAAACTACTCTGGCTCCGTAGATGGACATTTTGCTCAGTTCTGTCGTGTGGCGACGATGCAACTCGCAACTCGATGTTTGCAGCTGTTCGTGATGCTGGTTGCTGTCGGTTTCTCAGATGTGTCACCAGGATGAGTCGATCTAGATGTCTCACCAGATGTGTCACCAGGATGCGTCTGATCATGAGTAATAAGTTTAAAGACAAGATTTGAAGGTTTCCCCATCCATTACATTTGACATATCCAAGTGACCGAAAATACCTTTGTCACAAAAGGCTTTGCTTTTTTCCGAGTGCTGGTGCGGTTTGATGTGTGGCCAAGTCGTCGAAGTCGCGGCAATTCGCAAGTTGTTGTTTTTATTCCTTGGTTCGTTTCTCAATCTTGTCCGTGTTGTTAAAGGTGTCATTGCTTTAATCAGTATTATCTGTAGATAAGTATCCCATGAGAAGACTTAAAGCAACACTGGATTACATGGAAAGATGAAACAGACTTTGTCTTGCAAGACTTATGACATCGTGAATACGTGCATTTCAGAACGTTCAGGCTTATAATAGTGCGTGGAGCAAACAATCCATTAACACTGCGCTCTAGTAAATTCACAAATATTTAGAAAATTGAAAAGCCGGGAAACCTAAAAGAATACTACTCTCGAGAGGAACCTGTTAGTTTATAAGAGTGAGTGTAAATATTGCTTAACGCCGCATCAGCAATTGTGCAGCCATTATTAAAGCTATTTTCTGGTTATTTATTTACATTCATGTTCAGTGCACGTAGCAGTAGGAATGATTGTGCATGGGGATGTCAATGTCAATTTGAGAAGTACATATGTGTGTGAGTATGAGTGTGTGTATGTGTGTGACTGTGTTTGTATTTGTTGCTTAAAGTTGCTGTGTATGGCTTTGCGGAGAGAGTCATTGACACATGCTTTCTTTCGTGCGAGTCACACATGTATGACCTGCTGTGACATTGCTGGACTATTGCGGCCTGAGACCATACTCACTGGCTTGTACGATCAATGTTTTATCACAACATACCTGGTAACAGGAGACAGAGAGACAGGCTCTAAAAGAGAGGGGGTTATCGACTCGATTAACAAAGTCAATATCGGGTGTGACCATCGTCTGCGATGACACAGGCAGGGCAGCGGCGGCGTTTTAAAGACACCAGATGATTGAGAACAGCCTAGGGATGTTGTTTCAAATGGCAACAAAAGATTGTCCGAACTCGGCTTGCTGGTTCTGGTCCTGTCGTAGGCGTCGCACCATTTCATCCTAGACATGTTCTATGGGGAAAGATCTGGCGAAGCAGCCGGCTGTGGCAGAACAGCAATGTTATGTTGCCCCAAAAAGGCTATTGCAACACGTGCAACATGTTGGCGGGAATGATCCCGAGGCAACTTGTCGTTACATCCCTGCATTTGCGCAAAGGGTAGAACATGATTTCGAAAGATGTCGTCCCGGTAGGATACGCCAGCCAAATTGCCATTACAAATGATGAGTTGTGTTCTCCCATGAGTTTTGATGCCACCCCCATACCATTGCACTTGAACTTAAACGTTCCGGACGCCTGACGCGTGGCCTGCAAACGTGGGCGCATCGTTTGGGGTTAATGTTGGCGAGTCAAGAGTGTTACCCTGCTGTAGTGTTCCCCGAGTGTTGCCCTCGGCTAAGAGAATTGAATTGTTGAATTTCAACAAGACGTTCAAGTAAAGTATTTGTTTTTAGGAGCACCCGATAGCTAAGCAATCGTTGTGTTCTGTTCATATTTGAAAACACACACTCAAGCATCTACATTGTGCACCGCAAATGGTGAATATCGACCTTAAAGTCTTGATGAATATGTACTGAAAGATTCATAATTTTATTTAAGAAAATTGTATTCTTTTATTGAACTTTACATGACGCACAGTTGTTTTCCCCGTTTGTTTTTATGACTAAGCACTGGTACGTTTGTCACGATTAATGTACTCAAACGTGCAAATAACAATAACACTGTAGATTGGTGACGTGTTTTCCTTATTGTTATCTATCACAAGGAGAAAAGGAATCTCATAGCTGCTACGTGGGTGAGTGAGTGAGTCGGGTTTAACGCCGCTTTTAACAGTATTCCAGTTATATCAAGGCGTGTCAGATTAATGTGGGGGGAAAGCCCGAAGTGATGCAGGTCTCAGACGTTTACCACTTCGGTGAAACCCACGAGCACGGGTATGGTGCTGACAAACCTAGAAACCGGGTTTCGAACCCACAATCAGAGGTTTCTGGCGTGCCCAAGGGACGCAACTCTGCAAAGCGAATCGAGGCGCCTTAGACGACTGGGCCACCCGTGCCCCCTCACAGCTGCTAGGAACTCGTTATGTAACGTCCTGCGACGCGGACGGGTTTCACGAGTGACGAACTGGGTGCACACCTGTTACATCACGCGTTGCCTATGCGTGTAAGGGGAAGGAACTTCTTGGCAGTATCGATTTCCGTGAAAATCAGCAGGTATGCGCACTGTACAGAAATATCTTCCTTTTCTTGCGCTCGTTCGTAATGTAAAATAAACATTACTTTCAAAATAATTCAACATGCATGTCTACTTTCGATTGATCAGATTTCCTATTTCCTGTCGCGCAGATTGCCACGAAGCTATCTGGTAAACAAAGTCAATGTCGATTTGGTAATTATGTCATGATTCATAATTCAATCATTTGGTGCAGCACGTAACACTGATGAAGTGGATTCATTGGTGCCAATCCAGTGATTGATATCATGAGCATCGATCCACGCAATTGGGATCAATGGCATGAATCAACCAAGTCAGCGAGCCTGACCACCCGATCCCGTTAGTCGCCTTTTACTAACGCCTTAAGTACAGTCGGCTTTTACGGCAAATATGGGTTGCTGAAGACCTATTCTACAGCAACCCATGTTTGCCGTAAAAGGTGACTATGCATGTGAACGGTGAATACTTAGACTGCAAATGACTTAACTGCACCTTCTGCCAATATATTTTGAACATATCCTAGTATATAAGGACGCCCTATCATGCCATACCTGGAATACTGCTAAAGGCGGCGTAAAACAATACTCACTCACTTGACACTACATTCCTTTCCGTTTGATGTGTTAATAATGACCGTCTTGGGGGGTCATGGCGGGGTCATATCCGATGTCATAAAAAATGCTTTTGATTTGGTTGATGTGAAAGCACCCAATTGTAGATCTGCATTGCTTCGGTTCTTAACGTCTTGAATATCCCAAAATAATGTTCCAATTAAAATCCTTCGATTTCCGGCAACACGGGTTAGACAAGTACGGTCAATAATTCTGATATTTGCTAATGAACTGTTACAGCACTCGATCCTCAGGGATTGCCTTAATTAATACTTCAAATAAATGGCATCTAATCCTGGCAGGTTTAACAACAGACAATTGGACACAGAACGCTGTGAACCTCTGGTGTTGTGAGAACCGCATGACATTGTGCCTGAAGCTAATACCCATGGCACCCACTCCAGGAATTGAATGAACGATGTTTATGTAAAATAAATGTACAACTGACTCGAATTTGTTCAATAGTAGAATGAACGAGCCCCGCCTAAAACCTAGTCCTTTTACTAAAAAGTTGACAAAAACATAAAGCGAAATGATGATGATGATGATGATGATGATGATGATGATGATGATGTTGATGATGATGGGGTAAGCCGAACAGTCCTTGTTTAAGCCCCTTAATGACTGGCAGGGTAACAACAAGTACCACCTTTTAACGTCATATGGTGTGACGCGCCTGGGTATCGAACCCCCCGATCTCCGTGCGGACACTCTACCACTAGACCACGGAGGCGGTCGATGATGCTGATGGTGATAATGAGGATGATTATTATAATACCCCGGTAAATGGATCAGTGTGTAATCGATGTTTCATTCTCAGCTTCCTGGGGAATGAAAATACGGCCCAAGCTGCCTGTGAGGCGCTTGAAGGTTAGCGACGGTATTGCCATCTGGTCTGATATTACAAAATACGTCGTTATATTATCTTAGTAGTACTACCATGTATCATGATTTATATTTTCATCAAGCAATATCGCAACGGGGACAACAGAAATGACCTCTACGCATTGTATCCACGTTGGGATTCGAACCCGTGTCGTCGGCGTGACGGGCGAACGATTTAACCTCTAAGCCCAATCTGTGAAGCCCATTTCTCGTGTCCCCGAGAGATATTGCTGGAATATTGCTTAAAGTGTCGTGGAACCATCCTCACTCACTGAACCTTGCTGGTCGCGGTTCAAGTCTGAGATGATGTACTGACAAAATATGGCGACGTTTCAACATTGTCGAGATATAGAGCTATTAGGCTGTATACGTGATAAAAATGTAGATGTACCGTTACTAATGATGTGCGGGTGTGCGTCATTTTACGAGTTGAATTTGCTTGTATTAAGTATGAACAACTTTCAGAGACTTGCGTTCGGTGAAATATCAGATCTGCCCGTGGACTTGTAACTCAACATGGAACATGATCAATTATGACGTGACAAGCACATGACATCATATAACATAATATGACGTCATGGTGTCCGTACATACCGATCGACTTGTTACGGATTTTCAGCAACCTATGCTTGTCGTAAAAAGCGACTATGCTTGTCGTAAGAGGCGACTAACGGGATCGGGTGGTCAGGCTCGCTGACTTGGTTGATGCATGTCAACGATCCCAATTGCGTGGATCGATGTTCATGATGTCATTCACTGGATTGTCTGGTCCAGACGCGATTATTTACCGACCGCCGTCATATAGCTGGAATATTGCTGAGTGCGGCGTTAAACAACAAACAAACAAACAAATCGGATTTTACCAGAAGGCGACAAGCCAATCTGATAGTTGTGTTTTATAAGGATTAATGATTGACATATTTAAACACGCTTACCATAATATTGCAGGTATGGTATCCGACGCTGGGAACAAAATGCTATGGAAGTTCTTCTGCTGCCTTGTCTGTTCTGTGGCCATTCCAATCAGGTAATATATCGCATGTATCATCGTAACCATAGGAACATTTCTTATCATTTTTAATTCTAAACACGAACTCACTAAACAATATGCTGCCATACAGTGTGGTTCGTTGTAATGTATATGTTACCTGTTTTATGACGGACCAGTACTGGAAGCAATAGTTCTAACACCACTGGTTATGACGACGCCGGAGTGGCAGTGAATACCATCGGCATCCTTGATTATTGAGTTAATACTAAATTAATTTCAATTCTATTAGGATAATTGCCCTGGGACAATTCGTATGGGAAGTGGCGCCACCTGTCTTATCAGTAACTTTCAATGGATGCTCTGGCCCATTTTTTCATATTTTATTGGACGGATTTTATTAGCATCGAATCAGACTCAAAACGTAAGGGAGGGTAGCGAATTTGTTAGAGAGATATGACCCATTGGTTGGTTGGTTGGTTGGTTGGTTAACGCCGCATTCAGCAATACTCCAGCTACATGACGGCGGTCGGTAAATAATCGAGTCGGGACCAGACAATCCAGTGATTGATATCATGAGCATCGATCCACGCAATTTGGATCGAGGACATGCTTCAACCAAGTCAGCGAGCCTGACCACCCAATCTCGTTATTCGCCTCTTACGGCAAGCATGGGGTGCTAAAGACCTATTCCACCCCGGATCTTCACGGGTCAATGCTAAAGTGGTATTAAATATAAAACGTCAATGACGGAGAATAACAAGCCTCGATTATCCGCCAAGACGATAATTCAGTGGGCGTGCAAGTTAAAAATGCGATGACAATTATATGAAAGTCACTGAAAATCAGTGATGACACCATGTATTCGCGCTAACTCACTCAGTTTACTTTTTCCTATCCTTGTGTTGATAAAACCACGTGAGTGAGTTGAATTTTACGACGCTCTTAGCAGTGTTCAAGCAATATCCAACACCAACAGTGGGTTTAACGCATGTGTGGAGTGGAACCCGGAACGCTATAACCACCAGCCCAACGGACCTCCCCCTACCAACTAGAAATAATCTATCTAAAGTTTGCGTCCGCGCAGGTTTCATGTTTGACGCATGCTATGCGTTTGGTGTTTAACACCGCAGATATGACAGAAAGTTATATATTTTATGGCAATAGTTTGTTTTTGTTGTTTTTATTTTAAGAAGCTTTTTAATCAAACCTGTTGCCATAATGCACTTCATTACATGTAAATGGTGAGCATTTTATATCGACATTCCAGGAACATAAATGTATACATTATTATATTCACAAGAACATCGTTCCTTTTCTTCAGCATATGCACAGCGTCTGCCGCAGATGACGTAGCTGATGAAGTAACGGATGCTTTTGAAAAAGGCAATGATGTGCACAAACGAAGTGCAGAGGAAGACTATGCTAAAAGACCTTTTGATGAATTGGCCAGTGGACTCATCGGGAAACGTGGCTACACTCCGTACAGACTGTTTGAGTACCATACCTTCAAACGCCCATTCGATCCTCTAGCAAGTGGCCTTATAGGAAAGAGAGCCCCCTTCGACCCCCTTGCTAGTGGACTAATCGGGAAACGACCCTTCGACCCTCTTGCAAGTGGCCTTATAGGAAAGAGAGCCCCCTTCGACCCCCTTGCTAGTGGACTAATCGGGAAACGACCCTTCGACCCTCTTGCAAGTGGACTTATTGGGAAGAGAGCCCCGTTCGACCCCCTTGCTAGTGGACTAATCGGGAAACGACCCTTCGACCCTCTTGCAAGTGGACTTATTGGGAAGAGGTCACCCTTTGATCCCTTAGCCAGTGGGCTTATTGGAAAGAGAGCCCCGTTCGACCCTCTTGCCAGTGGACTAATCGGGAAACGACCCTTCGACCCTCTTGCAAATGGTCTTATTGGGAAGAGGTCACCCTTTGATCCCTTAGCCAGTGGGCTTATTGGGAAACGACCCTTTGATCGTCTTGCTAGTGGCCTGATCGGAAAACGACCCTTTGATCGACTTGCTAGTGGCCTGATTGGAAAACGACCCTTTGATCGACTTGCTAGTGGCCTGATTGGAAAACGACCCTTTGATCGACTTGCTAGTGGCCTGATTGGAAAACGACCCTTTGATCGACTTGCTAGTGGCCTCATCGGAAAACGACCCTTTGATCGACTTGCTAGTGGTCTCATTGGAAAACGACCGTTCGATCCCTTAGCATCTGGCCTGATCGGAAAGAGACCCTTTGACCGACTTGCGAGCGGATTGATAGGCAAAAGGACCTCAGATGATTTCGAGAAACGGCCATTTGATCAGTTAGCAAGTGGCTTGATTGGGAAGCGAGACATAGAATGATCGGTGAAACAAGTTCTACAACAGGTTGTGAAAAATTAGGACACACAGAGTAAATGCTATATTTTGGACTGATTTTGACAGACTTTTGTGCCATTGTGAATTCGCTCATACATGTTGTGAATTGCAGTATCATACTTCAAACATATATATTACATATGATGTTACTATTATTCTGTTAGCATTATTCCGATGCGAGGGGTCAACATTTCGCATTTTTTTAAAGTAAATCAGAACATATTATTTATTTATGTAAAGTTGAGTAACAAGCAGGGTATTGTTCTTTTGTTTTTCACCTGCTACTCCTCCGTACAACGGAACATACTAACCGAACAAGATAATACTTATTTAGAGTGTTTCATTAAAGTTATACTGCGAACTTGTCTTTAAAAAAAAACAACAGCCCAGCTCATGCACCATTGGACTTTATGCGCGCCTTTAACTTTGATAGCTCATGCGCTGGGTCGATATGTTGAGCAAATATGTGATCCGTGTTATTAAAATATATGAATTCTATGACGTTGTTGTCTAATGCTCATGGATACTTGTTTATCTTTTATGACCCGTTCTCGGTACTGAATATTCGCTTTACCTAGGTTACTTTGCAAAATGACTGTACACTCGCAAGCAGAGAAAAAAGTTTCTTCTGAAACTTTGAGTGAGTGAGTTGGGTTTAACGCCACTTTTAGAGAGTATTTAAGTTATATCACGGCGTGTCAGCTTAATGTGGGAGGAAAGCCCGAAGTGATGCAGGTCTCGGACCTTTACCACTTCGGTGAAACCCACGAGCACGGGTATGGTGCCGACACACCTAGATGCATAATCGGGGCGAACCGTGATTCGTACCCACAATCATAGGTTTCTGGCCGAAGGGACGCAACTATGCACAGAGAATCGCGGCGCCTTAGACGACTGGGGCACCCGTGCCCCACCCCACTCCTGAAACTTAGAGAGTGAGTGAGCTGGGTTTCAACCCAGTTATGTACATTCCAGCAATATCACAGCGGGAAAGCCAGGAATGGGCTTTACGCACTGAGCCCGTATTGGGAATCGGACCCGGGCCTTCGCTGTGACAGGAGAACGCTTAACCCACTAGGCTACCCTGAACCCTCCCAAATTAGAACGTAGAATGGGCGTTCATTCCATGTGCAACATGACCATATACTATGAAATATTGACCAATGGCGTCATTTCCAAGATTAATAACCTATCGTGTCTATTTTGCTTTGAGCTGGATTGAACTGAATTCAGGTGGATTGTTTATTCTTGGACAAACGGTATATAGGCTGAATGAAACAGCAATATAATGATTCCACGTTTTAAATAGTTTTGGACAGTTTCGGAAAGGCAGTTTTCACGCAGGCAGTAGAGCAACGTCGATCGAAATTACAAAAATGATCTCTTGCAGAGTCTTTGGCCTTACTTTTCATTGACTTTCTTCTTTCATGTCAATTTATGAGGTACAATCGAACTTGCTTTTGCTACAATGACTTAGGTTAGCGCCATACGATTCTTGCTTAAAAGTGGTTTGACCAAGATGGCGGAATTAAAGGCCTCAGTTAAGCTTTCAGAATCTTTTATGGTAGACATATACATGACATTTCCAAATGTGATGCATCTGTGCCACTATGCTTTTGATTCCGATGTAATTCCCCATTTTGACTTGTTTGTTGAGGTGTATATTCCCCCGGGAGATGAGGATGAATATCGGGTGCACATTGATCCCTTGACCGGGGTAATCGTGAGTTAGTGAGTGAGTATGGTTTTACGCCGCTTTTAGCAATATTCCAGCAATATCATGGCGGGGGACACCAGAAATGGGCTCCACACATTGTACCCATGTCGGGAATCGAACCCGGGTCTTCGGCGTGACGAGCGAACGCTTAAACCACTAGGCTACCCGACCGCCCCGACCGGGGTAATACTGTGAGCGCTTTGAGCATGCGCCAACGCAATATAAATGCACACATTATTATCATTAACAGATCAAAATGAAAAATGCAGCAAAGAGGGTTTAGGTGATCCTGGCACAGCCAGGCTGGTTAGGTTTATCATCAGCTTAGGGCCCTTGCCCCTCTACACGCAGCCCAGACAGCAAATGAGACTTCTCCGAGTAACAGCTGCCTTTCGAACCCACCGAGAACTTTTCGGAGAATGTGAACACTTCCCAATACTGCAGATTTCTGCCTCACACAGTTTGTCAGAAGGGCTGTTTTCCTGGTAACAAACCCGGGTACTCTCTCAATGTCAGTCAACAGATTGGGACGTACCAAAGCTGAAGCACCGAGAACAATGGGGAGTCAGACAACTTATAATTATTATGTATACATGCAGGCAAACGCATGCATGCATGCATACCCTGACACCCACACACCCACATCCCACTCCCCACAACGTTCAATCTCTAAGGGTAACGTACCACAACGAAATTTACTCATAATACTTCGATGTGATCTACTAAGAAGTGTATTGCTTGCAGGGTGCTTTTTATAAGACGAAATGTGCGGATCGTATTCCCGTTAGACTGGCCTTTGTCATTCCATAGTTCAGAAAACCAGCCACAGCAATCTATGTGTGTGTTCTTTTGCACAAACAAAATCATCTAGAGAAATAAAAAACAGATCATTTAAAGGCCAATGCAGATTCTGTAACATTTTACAGACCTGAACATAGTTTTTGTTTGGTATGTTAGTAAATCGTGAAGTCCAACCCATTTGACCACGTCCTGCCAACTTTTGTGCTTTCCTGCCAACTGCTAAAAGGAATCTCGCTGGACGGTTTTGAATTGCGTTAATGCAACTAAACTGACGTGTTCCCCAAACGGCAGTTCAATACGAGGGGAAGGGTTGAAACATATTATTGTATACATTATTTAAAACTTTATGTGCCACCAACCGACCTAAATTTACAAAATATTACACCCTGTGCTCTATAAGCAGATTTCGCTATTTCTATGGCGGCAAAATTTAAATCACGATTTTCCTGCATTCACAATCCCAAGTACTTATTTGCACTAATGCATTCAACATAGTCGTTACCTGATATAAACTCTTTTAAACTTTTTTAAATCTTTTAACAGAACCAGGGCGGTAATGTACAACTGTAATCTTTTTAATATTACTCTAAATTCGCAACCTCAAACACCAACTGGCAACACAGTCTAACGTACACTGTTTGTTGTTTAACGCCGGCAATTTTCCAGCTATAGGACGTCGGTCTGTAAATAATCGAGTCTGGACCAGACAATCCCTTGATTGACATCAGGAGCATCGATCCACGCAATTAGGATACGATGACATGCATCAACCAAATCAGCGAGTCTGACCACCCGATCCCGTTAGTCGCCTATTAAGACAAGCATGGGTTGCTGAAGACCAATTCTAACCCGCATCTCCATGGATCTACATAGCTCCATCAATCATAATACCACAATGTAGATTGTCTATTGCATTTTACTAAATCATTTATATACAGAGTAAAGTGTCGGTGACAACACACCCCTGCCTTTCACCAGAACTGACACCAAATATATCCGTGAAACTGTCACGTCAATACGTGTTTCGCACATGGATTGAACAGCATAAAAGTACCTGCCACAATACCGAGTTTCATCAATATATTCCATAAACAATCTCTGTTAAACTTGTCAAAGGCCTTCAAGGCATCAAGGAAACAAACATAAGTGGATTGTTGAGACAATGTTCTGTAATTAACTATTAGAAATAGGCTTTAATATGTTCATGGGTGCTTCGTGATGAACGGAATCAGTTTTGGACTTCCGATAGTAAATTAATATCGTCTAACCATCTGCTCAGACGCATGTTTAAAATATATTTATTAATTTTACATGGTTAAGATAAGAAAGAAATAGTCCTATGACCTACATAATCTCGAGTTAATAATTACTCTCAGGTTTCTTGATAGGACAAAATATATTACTCTGCCACAAGTCTGGGCACAGATCATTTTCAAAACAAAATTTAATTGGGGTGAATAAAAGCTGTTGACAGATTTTATTCCGTATTGATTCAGGGAGCAAGTCTATCCCGGAAGCATTTGTGAAACTGCACGTTCATCCTGTGAAAATGTGATCGGGGAATTTAGGTCATTTGTGTCATAGCTTACATCACACGTCACGTGACATTTCATCACGTATGTTTCGAAAGTGTTGATCATCAATTTTTGTAGATGCAGATTCGGCCAAAAGAGAAGAACAGCCCCGTTCCACTAATCTAATACCACTGCTCTATCAGTTGACATATTGCCATTAACCTCCACCTCCCATGAAATCACGTTACCTCTTTCTTTGACAATACCAATCCTTCTCAAAAAGTTACGTGAATCCTTTTCGTCATATTGGTCAGGTTGTTCAGACAAGTGGTACAAACGTTTACTTTTACGTAAAAAAAGATTTTGAAACCTTTTTCTTTCAGTTCAATAAAGATGCTTTAATGATTCCCGCTGGGCTTCCCAGGGTAACCAATGACTCTCGAACTTGCAAGTTTTGTCCCATTGGCATCACACCATATAGGTTTGTATCTCGATTTAGAGTTACTGGGTTTGAATATCTTAGGTTTAGCCACCTTGTCCAATTCGTCATAGATAAAGTTGAGAAAATCCGAGTAGGGGGCATTGATTTTCCTTCACGTGGAAAGCTTCGATTCAATACTAGTTATTACGCTATTGATCTTATTGGACAAACTGTCACCTTCCAAAAACTAATTAGTTACTTTACTAGAAATGTAATTAAGAGATTTAACACCAGAAACATAATCACACTTTCTATCAACATTATCAGGAACGTACATTTCCCATACACGAATAGAGTGATCTGGAATACTTGGGACCATTTGTACCATCAACACTATTCGACAGTTTGATAACATTAACACATAGAAATGACAGATGTTCCATGGCAGTTACAACGTAATCAACCAGTGAAGACCCGCGTCTGATGCATGTATGGTCTTGTTCACCAAGTCTACCATTCATCACACACAAATTTGCTTCTACCAAAAAGTCAATAAATAACTGACCGGATGCATTATCACAGTGATCAATTACCTGCCTCCCCGGTACACCGTCCACAACCTGAATATAGTCCAGTTGACTGCTTATCCTGGCGTTAACATCCTCACAGACACACAGCATTCACTCATTTTGGAAAGTGTAAAGCTTTTCCAGAAGTATGTTGAAAAGTTGTTCAGCATCATAAACACGGGTGGAACCTGGTGGTGGTAGGTAACAAACACATAACAAAATATACACAAAGAAAAATGTTAAGCACACCCCAATTTCTGAACCATGACAAATGGCAAAAATCTTGGCATTGGATGGCAGTCCACAAGAGGTGGGCGATACCAGTTTCATCGGATAGAACATTTGACAACAAATAAAGAAGATATTGGTGAGTTGTGATTGAAATGTACTGACAAAAACATCATGGTAACACAGGTACTGTTTTTGACCTCGGACAATACCTAAAAAAAGTATGGAGCTGCAGGATTAAGTAAATG